GGATCGGTTTTGTAATGCTGTAGTCATAGCTCTGTGTCCCTATCACCCAAATAGTGTTCATTGATGAAGTAATGCCTTTTACAACAATTTGGATGGAAGTGGGGACAATTATCCTAAGTGAAATATCTAAAGAATGGAAAAATAAATACACATGTACTAGTTATTAAATTGGAACTAACTGATGAGCACACATGTGCACAGAGGGAAATAAAATCTGGAAATCAAACAGGAGGAGGGGAGAGGAGTAGAGGGGGAAAAACCTACATAACAGGTACAATATCTGAGATCTTTTCTACTTTTTTGATGCAGGTGTTTATTGCTATGAAGTTCCCTCATAGCACTTTTTTGCTCAATCCATAGGCTTTGGTAAGTTGTGTTTCCATTTTCATTTGTTTCAAGAATTTTTATTATTTTTTTTCTTAGTTTGTTCCTTGATCTAATGGTCATTTGGGATCATGTTTAATTTCCATGTATTTGTACAGTTTCCAAATTTTCTCTTGTTATTGATTTGTAGTTTTATTTCATTGTTGTCTGTGAAAACACTTGATATGATTTCAATTTTTTGAGACTTATTTTGTGACTTGCTTGGTGTATGGTCTATACTGGAGAATGTTCCATGTGCTGACGAGAAGAATGTGTATTCTGCAGTAGTTTTATGAAATGTTCTGTAAGTGTCTGTAAGGTCCATTTGGTCTAAAGTATACTTTAAATTTAACATTTCTCTATTGATTTTCTGTCTTAATGATCTGTCCAGTGCTGACAGTGGGGTTTTGAAGTCCCCAAATATTATTATATTGGGTTCTATCTCTCTCTTGAACTCTAATACTATTTGCTGTATATATCTGGGTGGTTCAGTGTTTGGCTTATGTGTATTATAATTCTTATATCCTCTTGTTGAAATGATCCCTTATCATTATATAATGACCTTATTTTTTTCTTTTTCTTGTTTTTGCTTTAATGTCTGTTTTATTTTATATAAATACAGCTACTCCTGCTCACTTTGGTTACTATTTGTGTAGAATATCTTTTTCCATCCCTTCACTTTCAATCTATATCTTTATTTACAGGTGAGTTTCTTGTAGGCTGAATATAGTGGGGTCATTTTTTAAAATTCAGCCAGTCTATATTTTTTAAATGGGTAATTTAATCCATTTACATTTAGATTATTATTAATAAATATGAATTTATTCCTATCATTTTGTTAATTGTTTTCTGATTATTTGTATGTTCTTTGTTTTTGTCCCTCTTATTATTTATTGCTATGATTTAGTCTTTTTCTGTAGTTGTATCATTTGACTTCTTTCTCTTCTCATTTGTGCGTCTGCTCTATCAGTGAGTTTTATACTTCTGTGTGTTTTCTTTATGGTAGATATTGTCCTTTCACTTCTAGATATGGGACTCCTTTAAGGATTTCTTGTAGCACTAGTCTAGTGGTGATGAATTCCCTCAATTTTTATGTCTGGAAAAGACTTTATTTCTCCATTTTTGAAGGATATCTTTGTTGGGTATAGAAAAGAGTTGTTTTCTTTTAGCACTTTGAATATATCATTCCATTATCTCCTGGCTTGTAAGGTTTCTACTTAGAAATACACTGTTATTCTGATGGAGATTCCCTTATATGTGACTCGATTCTTTTCCTGTTTATAGAATTCTCTTTTTGTTTTTGACTTTTGCCATTGTGACTGCAATGTGCCTTGGAGAAGATCTTTTTGGATTGAATCTATTAGGGGATTTTAGTTTTCTGTATCAGATGTGTATATCTTTTGTATGATTTGTGAGGTTTTCAGCTATTATTTCATTAGATAGGTATTGAATAGGTTTTCTGTTTTCTATGTCTTTGCCCATTTCTTCTCCTGAAATCCTCCAAATTTGAGTATTTGTTGGTTTTATGATGTCCAATATATCATCTATACTTTCTTCATTCTTTTTTTTTTAATCTACAAATTTCAAAAATTTGTCTGCAAATTAAGTAATTCTTTCTTCTGCTTGATCTAGCCTTATTGAAGCTCTTAATTGTATTTTTTATTAAATTTATTGAATTATTTAGTTCCAGGATTTTTTTGGTGTTTTTTAATGATATATATCTCTGTTGAATTTCTCATTCAGATCATGAATTATTTTCCTGATTTCTTTGTTTTGTTTATCTGTGTTCTTTTTTATCTCCCTGAGTTTCCTTAATTTTATTGTTTTGCATTCTTTTTCAGGCTTTTAATAGATTTTATTTTGTTTGAGATCTGTTACTAGAGAATTATGTTCCTTTCACGTTGTCCGGTTTCTTGCTTTTTAAATGTTTCTTGTGTACTTAGATTGATATCCATGCATCTGCTGTAACAGTCACTTCTTCTATAGATTGGCCTTCATACGAAAGAGTTTTTTTCTATAGGTGTATCTCTAGTGTTGATTCATTGGGTGCTTTCGCTTTTATTCTGGGTGGATGTAGTAGTGTATGATTTCTGTATGATTTCTTCAGTTGTAATCAATATCAATGGTGTCTGTGAGTTTCCCAGTGAATTAGGATCTCTGAGTTACTGGAGGCTGTAGCAAGGCTTTGTTGGGGATAAGGTCACTAGGTAGGCACGTTCACAGGGGTGGCAGATGCAGGCTGGGTGGATGGGTCCTCAGGCCCCTGGGCAGTGTGCATGACACCAGCAGTGGTAGTAGCAGTGGTGGGTCAGATCTTATGACCCCGGGTGGTTCATGTGAACACCAGTGGTAGTGGCATTGGGCTGGGTGGGCCAGTCCCCAGGCCTCTGTTTGGCACACATGAGTAGGTGGGTGGTGGCAGGCCAGGTGGGCTGGTCTGTGGGCCCCCAGGAGGCAAACAAGGGTACCAGTGGTATTGTGGGTGGGGTGGGACACATATCAGACCCCAGTGCTACATGTGGGCACCAGTGGTGCTGGGAAGGTTGAGCTTGCCCTCAGATCCCAGGAAGTTGTTGAGTGGGCCTCCCAGGCTAACTGAAGGCACGTGTGAGTATGTGGCGGCCCTGTTGCTTGGAATGCATCACGTTGGTGTCAGTGGCAGCAGCCCCAGGCAGGCCACTCTTAGGCCTTGGCAAGCATGTGCTTCAGTTCTCTTTGTTCCAGGGGCACCTTCCTCTGTGCTTCACTGCCTGTTCCTTAGAATGTAGGACATTGTATGGGCTAGGATGCTGGGGACTCAGCCACACCACCTGTTCCAGCTGGTGTTGCAGTGCTGTAGCCCCCAGGGTGGACACTGGAGGATGTCAAGTGGGCTTCAGGGATGTACAGACGCAGGGGCTGTTGGGCTCCATGACACGGTGCTGGCCACGGGGGCAGGCTCTCAAGATGGTATCATGTTGCCTCTGTCTGGGTCTCGGTGCAAGTGGGACCCAGTGTGAATTCCGTCTCTGGAACAGTTAAGTTGTGTGGAGTCCAGGCAGCTCCCTGTCGTAGGCTCAAGTCCTGTGTGGCTTGAGGGGCTCTCTTGTGGCTAGTACTGCAGGCATCTCTGCTGGGAAAGTGGACCGTTGGGCATCTCTCACTTACCTTTTCCCTGCAGTGGGGAATTCCTTCTGGCTCTAAGCCAGTCCCAGCTAGACTGGCTGCTTCTTTACTTCCCTCTGTTGTGCATTAGAGATTCCCTGTCATTTCCTTGCAGAATCCCAGTTTTCCCTCATAGATGTTCTACTTGATATGTGGTTATCTGCTCACTGTTTTAGTACTTCTTTGTAGAGGTGAATGGCCTCTATCTGCCATCTTGATGATGTCTCAGAGATGAAACTTCTTAATCATCAAAAGTGGTTCATTTGCCTGTTATACAAATTAAAACAAGAATTTCCTATATTTTTTCAATACCATTAATCCACCCTCTACACTCTTTAGAGATCTACCCCAGTTTTTCTATATAGCCTAAAAACAAAAGGCATTTCATGATAACTCCCTTAGTTAGAAGTATAGTTAAAGGAAGTATTCCTTCATACTAACATCTACTAACATCTTAATTAATTACTATAAGAGGTTTTTGTTTTGAGAAAACAAAATATTCATCCAAGGACTGCATAGGGTCAAGTTCACAGATCAAGTTCACTTTTAAAAAATGATAAAGATGTTCCAGGATCTGTGTTTAGTTATCACATTCAGGTCATACTCAGTAAGGAACTATTTTCTCACCAATGCAAATTTTAAAAGTAGGATACTTTCCTGCTTCAGTATAAGGATCTTCTTTTTGGTATTTCTGCCTTATATCTGACACCTGCCTGCTTTGCTTCTTTCCTCAATGTATTTTTGATTTTTCTTCTTTTGAAAATAATCTTTAACAATTTTGGAATAATTTTAGACTTACAGAAAAATTGCAAAGATATTATCTGAGAGTTCCTTTGTACTGTTTACTTACTTTCCCCTAATGTTAAATCCTATATAGCCATGTTGATACCTTACATTTATTAAATATAAGAAATTAACATTGGCACTTAACTAGTCAGCAGACTACTTTATTGGATTATACCAATTTTTCCTCTAATGTGCTTTTTCTGCTCCAGGATCCCACCTAAGAAACTACATTGCATGAATCCCAGTGCCCTTTACTCTGTTTCTCATTCTTTTCTTGTTTTTCATGACCTTGACAATTTTGAAGAGTATTGGTCAGGTATATTGTAGAATACCCATCAATTTGGGTTGGTCTGATATTTTCTCATGATTAGTGAGTTTTAGGGAAGATTACCATAGAGGTGAAGTACTCGTCTCATTACATTATATTGGTAGGGGTTGGGGCGGGGGTGGAAGGGGGAGGGAGTGATTATAGCAACTTGATTTATCACTATTGATGTTAATCTTCTGGTTTCATTTTTGACCTGGTAACTACCTGCCTCATTCTTCTTTGATTTGTACAGTATCTTGGTTGCTTCTTATTTTCAGAGATCCTTGAGTGCTTATCTTTTTCTGTACTTTTTCTTTGTTTTGATATTTATGTCCTTTTCATTTTTATATGCTTTAACTAATTTTTCTTTTCACTGATGCTCTATCTCGTGCATTTCACTTGCTCCTTCTTGTTGGATAGAATGTCATCACTCAGGTTCACTGAACTACAGATTTTCCAGCCTGTTGTCATCCGTGTTCTAACTTGAAATTAGTAGTGATAGAATAAAAGATAATATAAAATTTTATTGAATAATCTACTTATGAATATAGGGAACAGGCAATATATCCTAGGAGGACTTTTAAGGAAATGATTAAATAATTTTTGTGCCTGATAGAGTAATCTTCACTGATTTATTGTCCCAATGATGCCACCTAAATAAGCATTATAGCATAGCACATAGTCTATTCTTTCATCAGAATTAACAGTTTAGTTACAGGTAGATTTCTAATCCTATGTAAATCCTCAGGTTGAGTTTATTTTTGTGGAAATACTAAGAATGGATTATAAAGTAAATCTTAATTTTTTTTGGTAATTTGTTGCAGATTTAATCAAATGTAGCAATTAAGATATTTTAAGCATTGTTTGGAGGGATTAATTGATATAAATTGTTATTTAGCTTCTTAATATTAACATTGTCTTCACTCTCAGTTGTTCTGGATTCTCTAGGAACAGATATCCTATATTATTCCAATAGATGAGAGACCATATACTGTACACCTTAAGCAAAGGTAATTTTTTAGTTTTTAGTTTTGGGTTTCATTTTATTTCTATGAAGTTGTTTATAATAAAAAAAGGAGTATGGAGAAAAATAAATGAATTTGTTATTTAAATTTTTAGTTTTCTCAGGTAAACAAATGCTCTCCTGTGACTTAATTAAACTTTTGTTTCTAATGGCTGAAGTAGTCTTTTGTACATGGGAGTTAGGAACAGAAGAAATAGGCACTCATCTCCTGAATACTGGTCTATATGATATTAAGTTGGCAGGACCAGCACGAGCTTTATACTCGGGGAAGGATGTCACAAAAAGAAGTAAATCTGTGACTGATAATATCGATGAGGGTTTTACCAGAGAGGTGGGACCACCATGAGGGATGGGGGGTAGGGATTTAATATAGAAATCAGATCTTACACTGTTGGAGAGCTGGTGAATATTTCATGAGGAATAGTACCTAGCTGTGTGCCACTTTTTAGAGAATTAAGAAAATCATTGAAGTAGTTTTCTGTAGGATTTAATTCTCTGATGGAAACCCAGCTGAGAAAGGCTGGCTTGGAAGTCATTTGTGCCATTCAAGAGCTTCAGTTAAATTTGGGGAATAGAACTAGACTGCATGCTATTTGGGCGAGGTGGATTATGCAAACTGGAGGTAGCAGTAAAAATAACTTCTTCAAGAACATTGGCAGAGAAAAAAGAGGCCTTAGTTGAGTATTTCTCAGAAGAAAAAACAGGAAGTGTTTTTGTGGCTGAGGGAAGTTTCTTAAAGTGAGAAAAAGAGATGAAAGTGTAAATAAGTAATTCATTGTGTAAGATACTAAGGGAATTCTCCCAAAGAAAGGGTTGACTCACTTATTTAGACAGAGAGAAGAAGATATGTGTATGGTACACAAGAACTTTTGAAGAGTATAAGGAGGGAATGTGAGAGAATTCTCATTGTATTTTGAATGTCTTATTACGACTATACACATTGTTAGAGTTGTAGGGACTGGAGCTTGGAGGTGGATCAGTGCAAATGCTATATTGTTTTTGGGAAATTCGCTGCATAGTTCATTATGACAGCCTAATGACAATTAGGAAGTTATCGCAAATAGCTTATATACAGAAATAATGGGACGCAGAACTATGACTATATAAGAGACTAGGAATTTTGGTTTGTGAGAAATGCTGATTGTGGCAGAATAAAGATTGTATTTAATAGATTAAACTAGTGGTAGTACCAGGATTATGGTAGCGGTAGAGGGAGGGTAGATATATCCTGAATCTAGGGATATGGGCTCATTTCTTAAAGATGCTGGTTTGTGTGTTTGTGGGACATCCAGGGAAATGTCCAGTAGCGTTATTTAGTTTAGACATGGGAAAAAAGTGATGGTTTCAGCATTCTTTCATTTAAAACCTCTCCACAAATGGATGTAGAGAATGTACAACCCAGTAAAGGTCATATCATGACCACCACAGCTAACATCATACTTCAGTGATGCAGAGTGAGCTTTTCACCTAATATCAGGAACAACGAGAAAGATGCCCACTCTCACCACTTATATTTAAGGTGTATTCGGAAGCTTCTGCCAGAGCAATTAGGCAAGAAAAGCAGAAATGAAAGTCATCTAATAGGAAGGGAAGATGTTAATTTTTCCTGTTTGAGATGACATATCTTTTTATATGGATATACACTATATATGAAAGTATATAAAATCCTGAAAATCTACCAAATACTGTTAGACCAGATAAATGAGTTTAGTAACGTGTAGGATATTAATAACATCCACAAAATCGTAGATTCTCATACATTAATATAACTATCCAAAAAAGAAATCAAAGAAACAATCCCATTTAAATAGCTACAAAATAAATACTTGGAATAAATTTAAACCAAGAATGGTGAAAGAACTGTGCACTGAAAACTACAGAACATTAATGAAAGGAATTCGGAAGACATCAGTGGAGAAGATTTCATTTCATGATTGAAAGAATTAATATTGGTTAAAATGACTACCTGTCCAAAGTAATCTACAGATCATACAAACATCAAATTCCAGTGACATTTTTCACGAATAGAAAAATAATCCAAAATTCCTATGGAATTACCAAAGACCATGAATAAGCAAAGTAATCTTGGCCTAAAAAAATACAAAGCTGGAGGCCTCACACTACTCTGAGTCAAATAAACCACAGAGCTATAGTAATTCAGGCCAGTCTTATACTAGGTAGTGAATGAAGCCAAGAAGATGAACATATAAATCTATAGAGGTGGGTGATTGTTAAGGTGAGAAGGAAAACAGCCTAGTATTGAATGCACGGAACATTTTAGGGATGAGGAAGATCCCGAGTAAAGGGACTTCATAAAGTTAAAGGAAACACATAAAGGAAACCAGGAGGAAGGTGGTATTATTTACACTGAGGAAGAGATGGTTTAGAAGAAAGGGATGTGGGTGGGGGGGGAAGGCATTTATTGAAACCTTAAAATCTGTACCCCCATAATATGCCAAAAAAACCCACAAAAAAACAAGTAAGGCTATGTTCCAATAAAATTTTATTTATGAACAAAAAAAAAAAAAAAAAAAAAGAAAGGGATGTGGTTTGAAGTGCTTCAGAGTATTTTTACTTGGCCTTCAAACTGCCCTTTGGAGTTGACAGCTGGGAGGTCATAGTAGCTTTGTGAGATCATTTTCATGGCAGTTCCCACAGAGCAGTCTGGGCATTGGAGTAAGTTATACTTGGGTTGAGAGTGAGCATGAAGTGAGGCAGCAAACTAAAATAACATAATAAGTATAGATGCATATCACGCAAGTTCTGAACTTAGCTGTGAGTGTCACGTACATATGTCAGATGCAATATGATTTTACATCAATAATCTTCCGTTCATTAATACATATATGCATGCAATATATATGTGTGTAGAAAACTTAGAAAGTGAATGTAAGAAAAGTACTCAAATCATACATATCTCTTTTT